GTCAATTACAAGCATGGGTCCATCCATCTTGGAATATTCATTCACCTAAAATAAGCAAAAAACAATCACAAAGAAAGGCAAAGGCCACCTAATGTCTGGGTAAGTCCTTCACATTAGCTGCTACATTAATGGCTTCTCCATGAAAACATGATAGGGAATGACTATATCTTCCAGCCCCTCAGTGGAGTCACATCTTCCCCCATAGAGAATGGTAGCCAAGAGGGCACCAGCCAGAAACTGTTCCTTTTTTTTTTTTAAGATGCCCCCTTACTGTTGTCACAGTTTGAGGACAGGATGAGCTAGGAATCATTCAGGGTCTCTTACATCATATTGAAATGCCAAGTACTTTTAGCAATGGGTCCTCACATGCTTGGAAACAATCTCCTTTTAATTTTCCACATGGCTGTTGGAACTAAGTCGGGAATATCTGACCACACTCTAAGGAATGGTCTCTATCAGCCAATTCACCCATGTTACATATTAGTCATCATAAATTCACAGGATGTAAGATCTGGAAGGAATCTTAGAGACCTAGTTCCACTCCTCCATTGTAAAGATGTGAAATAGATTAAGCGATTTTTCAGAGTTGAGATGGGTAAGTCAGAGGTTGAAATGGTGCTAATATCCTGAGATTAAATGTAGGTGAAGTAGGCTGAAGTTAATATATTTGAGAACACACTGGACAGATATCTTCCCACATATGCCAGTCACAGGGCCTGAAATCCTAAATTAGAGTTTAAATTTCTTTGGATTAAGACATTTTGCTTTCAGTATTCCTCTGTTAAAAATTAAAATAACCCTCAGAAATAACACATTAAATCATAAAGACCTTATAATGAATTTATATATTTCTCAATGGAATAGCTAATTATAGAACTCTGTGAGAATTGGGCATAGAACAGGGAAAAAAGAGTGTAAGATTTAGAGCCTGTACACTGTCTGGCCATAACAGTCCTGGGCAGGATGATGCAGTGCAAGGCTTTGGAGAGTCAGATGAGGGCATAATGACGCTGAAACCCTGTGGACCAAGCTCCTTAGTAGGGAAGAGGATACCAAAAAGAAAGATAGGCTGATGCTAAAGAAACTTCAGATTTTGTCATTTTAGTGGGAATTATTTTTACCCAACCATTAGTTTTAACCAATGAGTATTTATCACTGTGTGCATTGTCCTCTGATCTCTTTTATATACCTGGATCTGACTTTCAAATCACCTTCACAAAAGAGTTTTGAGCTTTATACAGTACATTTTTATGGGTGTAAGGGCAAAGTGTCTCAAAATAGTGGAATCTATGACTTATTTGTAGATTATTTAAACAATGAAGCCATCTAACATTTCAGATTAAACAATTACATCCTTTCAGCAGCTCCCTAAAAGGAATGTGACCAAGGACTCACAGTCTTAACAGAACAAGGTTTGGAAGAAGGAGGGGATCATTTGTGCCAAAAGAAAATCACCGAGTTGTCTAATTGCATTTATCCATTTTATTTTTGAAAAAAAAAATAGAAGCATATGACAGATTCAGTATTGCATGGTTTGAAAATATTTTTAAATAATGCTTTTCTGCAGAAAGTTAAGAGTCCACCTCCAAAGCTTGTCTGTTCTGCACAGTGTATACATGTTCAAGATCACAGTTCTTTTATGGTTGACTGAATTAAAGAAATATTTAGTGTCTTGGTGCCCTTTGGTACATCCTAGTATAGCAGATAAAGCCCTGGATATGGAGTTAGAGCATCTGGGTCTGAGTCCCAGTTCTGTTATAATATTTACCAGCTTTGTGACCTTAGTGAAATTGTTTTGGTTCTCTGAATCTAATTTATAAAAATGAGGGTGTTCAGCCAGGTGGTCTTGAAGTATCTTTCCTGCTCCAAAGTCCTGGAGATTTTGTAACCCAATCTGCCTGAAGTGGTGGCTGTATTCCACCCCCTCCCCTAGAACTTAATACTGACTGAGATTTCCTCATGTGGTTCACCTGCTATATGCGTTTGAAAACCATTTTTATAAAAAGGTAAAGGGTTTATACAGTCAGTGGTTCTAACTGACACAGACTCTATTCAACCACACACTATTTTTAATAACTATATCTGTGAGCTGGCTCGTCTAGCACATTTTGCTGGGGAAATATGCCTGTTGTGGCTCGTTCGCACATCTTTTAGCACGTCTTCGGTTTGCTCATGCTCATGTTCACTTGAATTTAATAATTCCATAAATAACATTGTTGTTGTTGTTTTGTGAATGATACTATCAGAAAATCTGATGGAAGTCCAAGGACCCCCTGTCTCTCTTCCTTCTTTGTGTACATGAAATGGGCATTTGTTAGGACCTAGGAACAGATCCCAACTCTATTGCTTACTGCCTCTGACTCTGGGCAATTCAATCCCTGGCCTTCAGTTTCCTCATCTGTAAAAAAGAAAAAAAATGATGGGATTGTGCAAGACAATTTCTAAAGGTCTTGTCTGGCTTTAAACCCCAGACACCTATGAGTTATTCAAATTAATCTTTCCTTTCTGGGTTCCCCTATTGACTCTCTACACTTTCTCTACTGTGCCACAAAAGACTCCTCACTTTTGAAGTTCACTTCACCCCTGGAATTCTCACCCTGGAACTACTCTGTACCTCAGTGCCCTTCCTTCCATCCTTCCTTCCCTCCTTCCTTCCTTCCTTCCTTCCTTCCTTCCTTCCTTCCTTCCTTCCTTCCTTCCTTCCTTCTTTCCTTCTTTCCTTCCAGTGCTGCTTCTTCCTAGAACTTCCATTTTAAGGAAAATGTCCTGGCAAAGTCTTCATTCCTTTCCAGATTCCACTTCCAATTCTCCAGACTTTCTTTACCATGCCCCAACATGAGTACTTTCTTCTCTCTCTCTCTACCCCATGACCATCTTTTCAGCTCCTGCTTTTAGAAAAAAAATACATTTTCTTCTCCCATTATAATGTAAAATCCTTGAGGGCAAGAACTTTCTTTCTGCTTGTATTTGTCTTCCCATTCCTTAGCATAGTGCCTGTCAAACTACAAGGGCTTAAAAGTTTGTAAACTTGTTAACTTGAATTTCAGTGGGATTTTAAAATGGGAGCTTAATATGGGGTCCATTCTAGGGTACACATTCTTGTACATAAAATAATAGAATCTGGAAGGTCAGAGACGATTTTATGGATGATCCTGAGGCCCAAAGAATGCCCTGCCCAAGATCCTAGCAGAGGATTTTGAATTGAAAGGGATCTTAAATGACTTGACAAAATTAGTTGTAGAGTCAGGACTAGAACTCAGGTCTCCTAACACTAGTCTGAAGTTTTCCTTGGTGATATAGCTTCATTTCCCTCTCACCACCTCCCCAGATAGCTCCTTTCCTTAAGTAATTGTCAACAATTAAAACATCATGTGGTAGGATGAAAATTGAATTGGGTGGAAAGCAACCTGTTTCTAGTTCCGTATCTGTATTACTTACTATTTGACATTGGGCAAGTATTATCACTTCTCTGGGCCTCAATATCCTCATCTGCAAAATGAATTGGTTCTCTCTCTTAGCTCTAAAATGCTACAAATCTATGAGCATACCAGTGGATTTTGTTTTTTCCAAATGCAGGAAAACATTTTTCAATTCTCTCCACAGTAGTAACAGGGAATGTGCTGTGCCAGCAGAAACAGGTAAAGCCATTTATGTGGTCTGGGCAATGAGTCTTTGAGATAAGGGGAAGGAAATAGTTGCCAAGGGAAAGAATACACCCTTAAGAACAGGTGAAAGAAAAAGTTAAGATCCTCTCCTTTCCCTTGCCTCCTGTCTGGCCAAAGCAGGGAAAAATAAAGCACGGTGAATAAAGGGCATGAAATGGTTCCACACCAGAATGAGTGAAGCTTAGAGACCCCAAGGTCTGATTTCATTCCCAGAACCCCTAGGGCTCTTTCTTCCTTCTTCTGTCCCAGAAAGCTAGGAGTGTGCTAGGAGTAGCCAGATCAACACCTTCTCTCAAGAGGAGAGGGTCTCAGGGCTGAGATATTCCTGAGAATATATTCCTGAGATAGGAACAGCCTCCTACCCTCCAATCTCCCACCCCTACCTTGTCACTTCTAAAAGCTCTGAGGCTTTGTATTTGCACTGACTCGTTCCCATTCAGCTCCCTCCAGCCCATAGCCACCTTATATCCATTTGCAAGTCTGAGGTTCCTGTGGTTTCTACTAAGTTGCCAGATGAGCTCACATGACCTATTTCTAACAGAAATGCATGTAAAATCAGAGGGTGAATTGTCTCTTCCTAAGCAGAAAGAAATCTTCTCTCCCTTAGCACTAAGAACCTTATACAGTACTGACTACGTTCAATCCCCATTATTCCCTATCTGTGCACACTCTGTCCTGCGTTGATAATGATGTTAATGACAACTGAAGATAATATTATCAGAGAAATCCTGGCATATGTCCCAACTCAACAACTACACACACTAGGGAGGGAAAGTAAAGTTTGCTCAGCACAAGTTAATAAGGAAAACAGGGTCATGGCAGGGCACAGTGGCTAGAGTGAGGGGTGGGTTCAAGTGCCACCTCTGACACGTTAACCATGAAATCATGGACAAATCCTTTAACCTCTCAGTGCCCCAGGTGACTCTACAGCTGTTTCCACAACAGGAATCCCCTGAAGCAGATGAAATCACAGGCCTGGACTAGCAAGGACAATAATGATAATATGCTCAGTGCCAATAACAGCTTAGCTCATTCCCAAAGTCCCGAGTACTTTAACCTCTGGTTTGTATCATCTATAGGAAGTAATCTTCAAAACTGTTACTTTGCTTCTCTCAGAAGATCTGATTTGAATTCCTAACTCCTACAGGTACCATCCACTATGTGAGAAGTTCTTTTATTCAGATGAGACTCCTCTCTTTTCTTTTCTCTCTCTTCCTTTCTCTCTCTCTCTCTCTCTCTCTCTCTCTCTCTCTCTCTCTCTCTCTCTCTCTCCCCCTTCCTCCCTCATCTTTGTCTCCATCTCTCTCTCTTTCATCACCCTTTTCTCTACCTCCTTCTCCCTTTTCTTTTTTCTCTCCCTCTTTCTCTTTTCCTCTCTCACCTCCTTTCCCTTCCCCTTCTCAATTAATTGGGGGAGGTGCAGGCAAACTGTTTCCTCTTAGTAAAATGGTGTTGTATTGTTTTTATACCCTGCCAACAATTGTACATTGATGTCATTACAATTGGTTGCTTGGTTCCAGATTTCAATACATAATATATTTTGAGACTCCCTTCCTTAAAACCACTGGAAAGGCAGAAATTTCAGGATGGGCTGTGGATTTAATTCAGCCAGGCTGAAGGTTCTCCTTCTGTAAAGATTCACATAAAACTCACCCTTTCAGCTATTTCAAGGACTCTCACACTTTAGAATCGAGAATTGTGTTTGAATAGCTGTTGGGAGTAAAGTGTCTTAGATTCTTTCCATTATACCAAGTGCAATAAAAGGACTGAGCCAGAGCAGATGTTTTTTGTTGCTGCTTTTGGCTTCTTTGCCCTAGTAGGAAGCAGCATAAACCTTTGAAATACCAACAAATACTCTAGTCCTATGTACATTCACTTCATTCTAAGTGGATCTTTGAAAATGACCAGCAACACATATACAGTCAATTCATTAGTGGTATAAGCAATCTTCAACATTATCTAATCCTTTCCTCTCATTTTACAAGTGAGGAATCAGATCTAGAGAGGTCTTCACCTCTTGTCCAAGATCACAACTAATTAGTGGCAGATTCAGGGACCACACACTCACAGAGCTAGAAGAGAACTTACATGCTATCTAGGCTAACATTTTCATTTTACAGATGAGGAAACTGAGGCCCAGAATTAAGTGATATGTTCAAGGTCACACAAGTATTAAATGGCAGAGTCAGGATTTGAAGATTAGAATCCCTATTTGATATAATTACTCAATATTATATATGGACTTTTAACATTTGTCATAGGCTTTAACTATTCCATTTGTCAAATTCTACTGATGCTGTGCTTTAGGCACACAAGTGATTAACATAAATCAAAGCTACTTACTACTCCTCCCTCTCCCCATAAAATACAAATGAAGGCATTATTTACAACCAATTTTGTGACCTTACAAAGACATCATGTTGTTAGGTCCCAGACTGCCAGTAGAGTTCCATAATGCCCCTCCCCCCCAAAAAAAGGTAAGAATCCAGAGGTAAGGTATAGCAGGAATATGGCCTGGACCTGTGATTTCCATACTATAGGGAACTCTGAGGTTCAGGAACTCCCTCTGTCAGTGCAGGTTAGTAGGGTCTCTGCAACTTACAGACTTACAGAGTTGCCTAGAATACTGAGAGATGAATTGATTTGTCCAGAGTTAGATACTTCTGCCTAGGTGTCAGAGGCAAGTATTGACCCCCAGGTCTCTCTGTCTAGATCTCTAACCATTTTTTCTGAAAGGGATGTCTCTTGCTAGGGTATAGTAAGAAATAAAAAATAGTTACTTTGTCCTGCTTCTTGTTAGTGAATCTAGCTGGAATGTTTGGCCTCATTCTCCTGGCTTGCTTCATCATAGAAGGAAGAAATGTGGATGAAATTGACAGGACAGCTCAAGCTGTCTCTACTCTGGAATTGTATATACTATGGAAGATCGCAAATGTAGGGTCTGCTGGATGTCAGTTGATCTAGTGTGACCCTGGAAGGGATACATACAATGAACAAAGGCACAGAGCAAAAAGCCTGAAGCTGGATGGAAGTGGAGCTGCCTAGGGGAGCAGGGTTTCCTGTGCTAGGCTCCTGGCAGGACCTGGACCCTTCCCAAGTTAACTCTGCCTCTATGTGTCTGTGTATGTATATGTGTGTGAGTGTGCTATGCATGACTCCAGGAGTTATGATGGTTTCACAATTTGCAGTCTGTGTAAGAACCACAGGAGGGGAGGCATATGGCTTCCTGGAAGGGCCATTGGAGCTCAATAATGAAATACCTATGAACCATAATGAGGGAGTTGGGAGCTCTGACCAGGTTGATTTCTGTTAGAATGAAGGGCGTAATCTCCACCCTTTTCTGCCACAAGAGTATTGGATAATCTCCTAAACCTTGAGGGAGGTACTTATTCTATGATTTCTTTGTGACTTTCCTTGGTGGAAGAGGCCATAAGTGTTCTCCCCAGCTGACTATTGGACAGGGGCTGAGTGAAAATTGGACACAATATTTCAAATTTTCAACCCCATCTGAATACCTCTTCTGTTCAATTAACATTTGTTTTTTGGACCCCAAAAGGGGAAAGTAGCAGAATAATTCAGGAGAACAGAGAGGTTAGGAAGGGAAGGGGATCCAAGTTTCATTGGGACTGAGAAATAGCCTCTAGGAGCACTGGAACCCCACCATTGCCCACATAGTTCTTTTCAGCTGCATAATGACTTTCACTCATGAGGTAAAGTCTTGTTCATGAAAAAGTCAATGAAGGAAATGACACGTATCGATTCCCATGTTTCCAGTGGTAGCTAAGGCCAGTATTATGCTGAATAACAACACCTTTGTAATGTTAAATGACAAAGTGGGGAAATGTATCCCCAACCATGCCCGTGCCAGGAATTATCACTGAAGTCTACCCAATCAATGAAGAGCAAAAAAGAGAGTATTCATGGTAGCTTGGTTAAAAACATTAGTGAATGGGGACTATGCCTTGATGGGCTTCAGCCATGCTTCTGTATGTACCACTCCCAATTCCCTCTTATTTTATCAGCCTCTGAAACTATTATCCCACTTTATCTCTCATTTACTTCCCCTTCCCACCATCATCTTCAAATGGGATTAAATTCTGTAGCACTTTGGTTGTGAGAGAAGGCTTTACTTGGCTGTTTTAGGTTTACAGGACCGCTGGTGGACGACTAGTCTGTCTGGCAGGAAGGTACGCCCACAGTTATCACATGGAACCAACTGGTTCTGGGCACTTGTCCAGGCAGCTTCATTTATAGCATCTAGATCATAGTAGCCTTTGGCTGAAAAGTCAAAAAGGGGAGGAGGGGGAGAAAACAGGATCAGTTTTCATTCTGGAGAATCATATTCAACTCTTTATGGAAAATATTTTCAGGAAATACCTGTTGACTGAGCCTTTTTAACCAAATCATATTGCTTTTACAAAATGTCCCAAAGGCTAAATAAAGCTAACTATGGACCAGGGCACTTACTTAGCTGCCTTAAAGAAAGGGGGAAACCCTGTGGTAAGCATTCTTGGTTTTAATTATTAACATCTCTTTTTTAAAAAACATGATCATCATGCAAATATTACTTTTTGTACTGCTTTCAGGAGATACTTAATAAATTCTTATGAGCTTACCAAAGGAAAGGAGCATACCCTTGAGATTACTCCCCTGTCATATTACTTCAGAGCATTTTGAAGAAACCAGCATTTCTAGCTAAGAGTGAGTTTAAGCTGGTTTTCATCCTAAAACCTTAGCTCCTTTTACTTTGAAAGTAATGTGGCAGCATTCCAAGCAGAACAGTTAAGCTACTAAATAGAAGATTTGCTTAAATGTGCATCCACACATAGTACCTAGATCATATAACCTTCACTGGTGCAACATAAAAAAATACACATAGCTTATTTTAGAGAAACAGTATGTGATTCCGTGTCAGCAAAAGGACCTTAAAAAGAAGAGCTTAAATACAATATGACTGACTACCTTGGAACTGTAAGCAAATGGCCCACTTTTAAATAAATTTTTAATGTGGAATTTTATGTACATTATATATGATACAAAGCTTCTGTCTCAGAGCATATATCTCTTCATTAAGGTTTCAGATCATTTAAAAATGATTCATATCTAATAGTTCATGTGAACACAACAAGCTTTAGATCTCTTAATATCTTTGTTTCCAATGAGGAGGTAAGGTTCAGCACAACAGTTTTTCTCTCATGGCTGAAGCAAGCATCTCATTCTGTGAAGAAAATGAATGTGTTTTTTGAGTACCTTGAAAAGCCTCTTTTGAAAAATGGGTTAACTTTCTCTTTACCCAAATCGGTTTTAATCCAAACACAAAACATCCTGTAAGTGGCATAATCATTTTTGTTCAGTGATACTATGTGGAAGCATCACCGAAATGGGTTTACATAACTTTGGAAAAGGCTTTGCATAGACCTAACAGATTGGGACCATGTGTCTGGTTGCAGCTGTGTGAGGGGACTACGTCACCTTTAAGACTGAAGTCTTAAGTGGTGGGAATTCATAGCAAGCAGGTTCTTTGATTAAGAAGAAGGAATGTCAGTAGTGATAGAAATGGGTCAGCACAGATTGAGAGGGAAACTTAAGAGAAATGAAGTTACAATGACCTTCCTGTCTAACCAGCATGCAGATGATTTCACAGTGATACAGCCTGGGTTTTAGAGTAAATTATTTCCATCCCAACTCCTAGAAACATGAAAGTTTTGTTCATGCAGAGAATGGGATGTAGAGTGCTGAGCAGAGAGGAAGAAACAAATTTAGGAAAAGAAGACTGCTAAGTGTGTTGGTGGTCAGCAGTCTAAATAGGCTCCATGTGTACACAAATGCTGTCATCTTGTGTTCTTTTTACCTCCTTTTATGCACACACCTGGGCAGCTAGGTGGTGCAGTGGATAGAGCACTGGGCTTGGAATCAGAAAGTCTCATCTTGAGTTCAAATCTGGCCTCAGACGCTTATTAGATGTGTGACCCTGGCCAAATCACTTAACCATGTTTGCCTCAGTTCCTTATCTGTAAAATGAGCTGGAGAAGGAAATGGCAAACCACTCCAATATCTTTGCCAAGAAAATCCCAAATAGTGTCATAACGAGTCAGACAAGACTGAAAAGACTCAGCAAAAGCAATAAAATACACATGTACACACACATACATATGCACACTCACACACACACACACATATATATTACACATATGTATACACACATATACATATTTCTGAAGAGTGTATGTACATATGTTTGTCCTCTAGGAAGAGACTATGCATAATTCTTGCCTGGCAATGTCTACAATTCTATCAGCTCCACAGGGGACTACAAAACTCTCCGCACCATTCCTGGAAGGAGTTTGAAGAACTAGTCCATCCCCTGCATCAAACTAAGAACCAGACAGAGTGATCTCGTTAGGGAAGTGCCATGAGACAATTTCTGTGCTTGTGCTAGGGGAATGTGCTCTTAACCACGTTAGATAAACATGAGGCTCTCTGCGAGCACTAAGGCATATCTCCATTCTTGAAGACATTGCCTTATGGTACCATAATAAAAATACTACCTTCTATTTGTATAATACTTCAAGGTTTATAAAGTACTTTTTCATAATAATCATATAAGAGGCATAGTATAAGTTTTATTTTCTCCATTTTTCAGATGAGGAAATAGGTTTAGAGGGGCTGCGCAGCTAGGTATGAGCCAAAGGTATTTTACATTTCAGGTGCCACTTTTAAATGCTAGGTAAGATGATCTTAAGTAAGGTCATGTAAACCAGGTGATATAGATCCCATTCCTCACTTTAGCCTTGAGCAGAAAATGTCTGTTCTTTTTGAAGACAAGCTTTCTTGAAATTGCACTTTGACGGGTTTTTTTTCCCATTTAATGGTGGCCAAGATTAAAAATGTAGTTGATTTTAGAATTATGAACAAATAAGAGACAAGTATGAATAAAGAGTATTCTCACATTTTAGGAAAGATCGAAAGAACTCTTTTTTTCTATATAACTCCACTCTTGTCTTCCCCAGTAGCTTACCTCCAATGGGTCTGACTTCTGGTTTTTTTGGCTCTGGTCTCCGTAACTCTTTAGGCAACAAATTGTTTTCATTATGCCATTTTTTCAGACACTGTGGCTCATGGATGCTGATAGACTTAGTTCCATATTCACGACCACAAATGTAGCAAATAATTGTTGGTGGTCGTCTTTTCACTGAGGGCTGCAAGAATAGAAAACTTGTTATCATGCAATTCAGGTTTGAAATACATTTACCAGGTTTAATTTTTGTTTTTATGTTTTGCCTTACTGTGGCCAAGCAGATTGTGTAGCACTTTTCTTTAAGTTATGCTACCCTAAGTTCTGTGATCTATTTGGATTTCTCGGAGAAGACATTCAGACTGTGAGATTTCAATTCATTGTAAAGTAAAGGACTAAAAACACTGCTCCAAAAGGGTTTAGAGGGTGTTTTTTTTCATGTCACTGACCAATTTAGTTTGAAGTACCCTGGTTTTGACAAGAACCTTATTTGCTTGAAAAACTGAATAGTTGTGACAACATTCAATCAAATGCACTTGAGCAAAGAATTGTGAAATGCAGGACAAAAATTCCACAGTGTGAAAGGGAATGATTGTGATTGCACAATTTAAAAAAATATGTATTTTTTCCCAATTACTTGTAAAGACAATTTTTGACATTCAGTTTTTTTAAAAAATTGAGTTCCAAATTTTCTCTTTATCTTTCTCACCTCCCCCTAGCCTAAGATGGTAAGTAATTTGATAGAGGTAATAAATAAATTAAATAAATAAAAATATACAATAAACATAGCTAATAGCACATTTTTAAAACTAAGTCAACATATTGCCTACAAGGATCTTTACATACAGATTAGTGACCTCCATTTCAATTTGAGATTGACACTACTGCTGTACAAGGTTTGGATCCGTAGTTAAGTAGCTGTTTGTAACCTCTACTCACCTAAGCAGAATCACTACAGGCTTTTGACTTCTTGGCGTGCCCCATGTCAAAACAGGCCAAGTCAAATGGAGAGTAAAGTTAATAGTCACATAATGCAGGCAAAAAAATTATTTGAGGGAAAAAATCCCTGCTTAATTATGCTGATACATAGGCCAAATTGGAAAACTGATCCAGTCTCCACTTTCCTTTCCCTCTGCAGTCACATCATAGATCGTCCAAAAGATGAATTTGAAGAAATTTTTAAAAATCCAGTGATAAAAAAAAAATGTGAAAACAACAGTGGGTAAAAGGAAAAGAATTGTAAACTAAAGTGATTAGGAACCAAAAAAAAAAGACCACTAAAAGTTTTTCTTCTTAAAAAAATTTTTTTGTAACAATAATGTTACAATTTTTACATGTTAATTTGTTTGCAAGATTATTGAGATACAGATAGAGCAGTTAGACATAAAGAGGCAACTTTCTTTTTGGAGAATAATTATTTTTATTAAATTTCTTTATTAAAAAGAATGAACCAAAGCTAGTATTTAATTCAACATGCAAAGAAATAAATAATGTGTTCATAAATAATGACATTCATGCCATATTGCCAAAGATTTCTTTGTTAGGAAAAGTTAAAAGGAGAATAAGCAGACACAGAGCCTAGAAAATTTATACAGAAAAATAAAAGCGGATGTGAAAGAAAATTAATACCATAAAAGGCTAATGTGGTCTATGTTATATTTTCCAAGGCTAGATTCATGCATTATATTAGTTGAACTGCTGCTGAACTTGGAACCTGTTCCATATTTTTGAGTTCCGAACATCCTAACTCCTAAGTCATGCTCTAGGGAACTATATGCAATTCAGTCCCAACTGCTGTAGAGAACATAACCCATCCAGTCTGGACTAAGATAAGAGCACATTGTATTTCTCATCAATTTCATGACTGTCAGTCAGAAGCTCAGCCATTTTCAACTTGGGGCTATTGTGACTTTGCCAGCTGCCAAGGTTTTAGTCCCCAGCCTCTCCCTCCAGTACTTTCAAAAGCACATGGGCGTGTATGAACAGGGAACACAGCAAAAGTGGGAGGGATTGTAACTCTAGCCAGAAGCCACATCAAGCCTTTTTCTCCTAATGTGCAGTCTCTTGATTCTTTGGAATATACCATTACAGACAGGGCCAAGGGAAATGAAAGTTTGGGGTGTGGGGGAAGTTGATAAGAGCAGGGAAATTAGATCTTTACTGTGCTTTGGTCATAGCTTGCCAAGGCATAGAAAGTGCAATCCAAAGAAGGCAGAGGGAAAGTCTCTAAATTTAGCTAATGCAAAGTTACTGCAGAGCAAAGGATTAGATTGAAAGTGTCAAAATTTCAAATTATATTTGAGAAGTTCTATGAAGCTTTCATGACAGGGGTGAGGATGCCTGAAAATATCATTATTCCAGAATCAGCAAAAGCTTGATTTTCTGGGTCACAGGTATGAATCTAACAGATGAAATATGATACCCTTACACACAGAAACCTATTATTTCTGCTCACAGGTTTTTTCTTTTGTCTGTCAACTACTGGGCATGTCCTGGTTAGCCAAAATATGAAAAGAGGGACCTGAAAACTCTAGGGAGAGCATGTGTGTGTGTGTGTGTGTGTGTGTGTGTGTGTGTGTGTATGTGTATATATATATATATATACATATATATATATATATATACTCACATATCTACATATATGTGTATATGTATGTACATATATACGTCTATAAACTTGGGCCCACTTGTTCTTCATATGTTTTTAATTATTTCACTAGCCACTGCTGCTAATTATCATTTATATTATTTAAACAACGTTTTTCTTGCTGTTAATTGTCCTGCTTTATACTGCTAAGAAATGCTAGAATTCATTCTCTTAGGTAAGATTTGTGCAATGTAAAATAAAGGAGATATTCAGCAATTTTCTGGTGAATATAGTGGATGGTAAATCTATTTGTGCTGAATTACCCAATTTGGCTGTCTATGCTACCCCAAAAACCCCACTAATTGTCAACTCCCCTCACTGAGTTATATAAACTCAGCCACAATGGGTTGTATAAACAATGTAGCAATACTAATAATGACTGATATTTTTGCAAAACACTGGAACATATCATTTGAACTACAAAACAACACTGGGAAACAGGTGCCTTTATTGTCTTAATTTGTATACAGATGAGGCAACTAAAGTTGAAAAAACATTAAATGATCTGTTAACAGTCACATTGCTAATGTCTCAGGTCTTCCTGACCCCAAGTCTAGCACTCTATCCACTTTACCACATTGTCTGCTAGTAATTACTATGGAAACAGGCCATTACCTAAACACTAAACACAGTTCAATGGTGGGGCCCTAGGAAACACCACTCTTATTTTACCAACAAGCCTCAGGACTTGCTTTGATGACATTTCTTAAGGATGTTTTGTGCCACCACTTTCCCTTGGCTTCCTGGGTTCCCTACCACCCAAGAGATGGTACTTTTATTCACTCCAAGTCATTGTTCCCTGAAAATAGTATGTAACCCTTCTATAGGAGTTTTTAATTTTACCATATACTACAAAGAATTATATGCTTGCTGGTGGGAGATGTATTTAACAAATTAAAGGGAAAATTTTTAGAACATAATAAGAGCTTATAAAACTCGTACCTCTAAGAGAATCAGGGAAACAATCTGCATCACATTTTTGTCTCAAATGTGTGTTTGTACTTGTGCATATCACTTCTGAGCCTAGCTATTAAATGGTGAGCCAGGATTATGAACAATCAAGTCCCATAATGGAATTGGCCTTACCAGCACTGAAAAATGCTTGTCCCAAACATAATTTCCTTGGGTGGGACACATGTGGGGAATAGATGACAGCAGTATACTCAAGCAGATGCAGCATGAGGAGTAAGTGAGGCAACCACAACACAGAGGGAACGGGGAAAGCACATCTTCAGACAATGAACTACAGCTGTGGCCTACTGCAAAGGACCAATGGGAGACCAAGCAGTCTTGGATATAGCTCCCAATCATGCTGTGATGTAAGGGTTGCTTCAGGATGATTTTGAGGCTAGGAAGAGATTAACAAAGAGTAAGAGAATGGTAAGCAGAATCTGTAGCCAAGGACCCAAGAAAGCTCCTTCATGTGCAGATATTCAGTGAATCATGGATCAGCCTTCTCAGACACACCCACACAGTCAAGTAGAAGTCACTCTTAGTAAACAGTTTAACTTTCAAAACTTCCAAATATGAAAGATGCTAATGTCATTTGCACATGTATTCTACATTAGCCATTCATGGTCAGTCCTATGCATAGGAAAGTAGGTTTCTCATCTATTGTGATTTGAGGGTTATTACAAGAATCTATCTGCCCTGAAATACCATACTAGTCTGATTACAGTTTGTACTTCCTGCGCTACTGCTCTACATCTCCCTCTGTCCCTGCCAAAGCTCAGTCATTCCTGAGTATGGCTTATAATTGGTTTTATTTCTGTACATTTTATATATTTGCAAATTCTATATATTTGTATATTCTATATATTTTATGTCTGTATATATCCATATATTCATATTGCATATATGAATATGATTTCAAAAATTTTTTGTAATCCCCCATGCCTGCCTCAGCTTGGACTATTGGCCTCCTTGGCGTCCTTTAAGTCCCAATTAAAATCCCACCTTCTATAGGAAGTTTTCTCCAATCCCTCAATTCCAGAGCAATCCTGATGTTAATTATTTACTGTTTATCCTGTATATAACTTGTTTTGTACATATTTGTTTGCATGTTATCTTTCTCATTAGATTGTATGCTCCTACAAGGCAGGGGCCATCTTTTGCCTTTTTTATATCCTCATTGCTTAGCATAGTCTCTGGCATATAGGAAGTGCTTAATAAATTTAAGCCAGGGGTAGGGAATCTGCAGCCTTGAGGCCACATGTGGCCCTCTAGGTCCTCAAGTGGGGCCCTTTGACTGAATCCAAAACAAATCTGTTATGTGAAGTTTGGATTCAGTCAAAGGACCACATCTTTAGGTTTCTTTTTTTAAATTTATTTTCAGTTTTCAACATTCACTTCCCCAAGATCTTGAGTTCCAAATTTTCTCCCCATCTCATCCATCCCCTCACCCCAAGATGGCATGCATTCTGTATACCCCTTCTCCTAATCTGCCCTCCCTTCTATCTTACCCCCCCCTTCTCTTATCCCCTTCCCCTTCTATTTTCCTGTAGGGCAGGAAAGATTTCTATATCCCATTTCCTGTA